CAAAACGGAGTCAGGCTTGACTCGCCGTTTCCTAAACGGTTACTTTTTAATGAAAAATTCCTTCCATTCTTTTTTTTTTTCCTCCCCATGAATGAGAGGAGCCAGAGGTGTGGTCTCCCGGGAACTGAAGGGAAAACTGGATTAGGGGCCAAGGAGCTACAAAGCGATCAGGGAAATTACACTTGTTTGGGAGCAAAGCGTAAATATTAGAGCGACAATAATAACAATAACTGCCTGCCGGGAGCCACAGAGCTTTAGGGTAGAGGATTAAATGTCATGTGCAAATGTTGTCATCTGCGCTGGCAGAGAGACATCAGCCCGGGAAGAGCCAGCGGTGCCTTTTTCCCTAATTCCCTTGCAACCGGTCCTTCTCCCCTTTCTCCTCGGCGTTTCTGTGACCCTCCAATCCAAGCAACGCGAACCGAGTTATGGATCAGCATCCCTGCGCAATCCCTCACCCTCCCCTTCCCTCTCTCATGGCAAAGACGCGACCGGCTGATCATTTTCCCGTCCCCGAGCCGGCCCTTCGGAGCTGCGGGAATTCGGGAATGCCCCGGGCTGACTCCGCGGCGGCTCGGCTGCGGATAAACCTCTGCTAACGGCTCTGGGACAGCGGGGCCGCTGCTCCCTGCGCTGCGGGACCGGCGCGGGGGTGGCGGAGAGTCCCCGGGATGGGGAGCGGGGAGAGCCGGGCAGTACCGGAGCGGCCGCCGGGCCGGCGCCGTGAGCGGGACAAGCGGCCTCGGCCCCGGTTCGGTTCCGGTTCAGCCCCGGTTCGGCCCCGGTTCAGCCCCGGTTCGGCCCCGGTTCAGCCCCAGTTCAGCCTCGGTTCGGCCCCGGTTCAGCCCCGGTTCAGCCCCAGTTCAGCCTCGGTTCGGCCCCAGTTCAGCCCCGGTTCGGCCCCGGTTCAGCCCCGGTTCAGCCCCAGTTCAGCCTCGGTTCGGCCCCGGTTCAGCCCCGGTTCAGCCCCGCCGGAGGTGACGGCAGCGGCGGGGCCGTGCCGAAGCCGGGCCAGGGGAACAGGAGCGGGACCCGCGGCCTCCCCTCGGTGTCTCCGCCCGGCTCCGGCCGCCGCTGCCCCCGAGCGAAGTTTGGGGGGTTCGAAGCGAGCAGCCCGGGCCGCCCGCCGTGCCCGTGTTTAAAAGATTGCGGAGATATTTTCACACCTCAATCTGCCGCCCCCCTCTCCCCTCCAGCCCCCATCGCCTTGATTTAGCCCTTGGTAATTAATTTGGCATTTCAGAATAGCTACTGGGCTGGATAATGGCCTCATTCATCTCCCCAGCCTAATCTGAACAGAATCTGGAAGAAAAGCTTTCAGAAAGACAGAAACTGCCATTCGGCAACTGCTCAAAAGAACTGTCACTCCAGGGGAATAAATCGCTCCTGATTATTTCAACCCGGGTCTTCTCTGCCTTTCCAGCCGCTCCCGGTCCCGCCGGGGAACGGCCCCCCGAGAGCCGGGGAGCAGAGGAGCCGCTCTGCTCTCCCCCTCCCTTCCCCGAGCCCGGGCGGTGCAGGGGGAGGTGGGCGAGCAGCAGCGCATTGTTCCCGGCGAGGAGGACGAGCTCCGGCGCCCGAAGCCATTTGACTTTTAAAACGGGCTCCGAGCGCCGGGGCCGCCTTTCCCGCCGTTCCCGGTGCGGCTGGAATCAAATCCTTCCCGGTTCTGCGGCCGCGGGGCTTCTCCCGGGCCAAACGGGGACGCTCCGCTCTGCCCCGGCCCTGACGCTCAGCCCCCGGGCGCGCACCTGGGGCCGGGGCCGGGGGACAGGGGATGATGCCCCGGTGCGGTCTCAGCGCTGTTTCGTTCCCGGTGTAGGCGCCGCATATGTTCCGGTGCTGGTCCCAGCAGTGTTCCGGCCCCGGTGCTGGTACCGGAGATGTTTCGGCATCTCACCGGGGCTGACTTGGACGAGGATCCGTCGCCTCCCGAGGCAGGAAAGGGCCGGGGCTGGCTGGCGCTTTGTGACAGGAGAATCAAATTCGAGCTGGGGGGCGATCCCCGGAGGGCACAGCCTGGTTCCCCGAGCATCCCCCGTTCCATCCTCCCGGGACAGCCCCGGGCACCGGCCCCGAAGGGCCCGGCAGAGTCGGGCCCGGGCCTGCCGAGCTGCGCCTCGGTCCTCGCCGAGCTGCTTACGTGCATTTAATAGCTCGAGGGCGAGGTAATTAGAGAAGAAAGCCTCAGTAAATCACGTTAATGACCGCAAGAGCCATTACAAACCCCGGGGGTTGTGAAACGACGAATAAACCCAGCGAGAAGGGCAGGACGGAGGCGAGAGCCGCAGCCCCGGGAGCGCCGGCGGGCAGCGCGGAGCCCCGCGCTCGGCAGCGCAGGAAGGTTGTTAAATTAACACCCTGCTAATGGGATTAGGCAGCACCTCGGCTTTGCGGGGCAGTTCCGCGGGGGCAGCTTTCCTTACATTCACCCCAAGTTTTTCTGTGAGGCGGGGAAGGACCGTGCGGGCTTTGAGGGGCGGCTGGGCGGCCTTTAGAAACCCTCCGGATTTTAAAGAAACGCTGAGATTTCAGCCCTGCCCTGCACCCTGGGGGCACTCCCGGGCCGCGGCCGGGCCGGCGAGAGGGTCCGGGAGAGTCCGGAGCAGCCGGGGCCAAATCCGCACCTTTCCCCGAGGGCCCCGGCAGCGGCACCTGCTGCGTGCCCAGCGGGCCCCGCGAGTCCCTCCGGGCACAGGAGCTGTCCTCTGTCCCTGTCCCTCCCGGCACGGCCCGGACACGGCCGGACAGGGAACACGCGGCGGCCGCTGCTCCCGGACGCGCGGGGCCTAAGGAAAAACGCCGGCCGAGTAAAGCGGGGGATCGCAAACGCCGAGAGAGATGCTGATGGGGGGCACCTGCAGGGTCTGTGGCCCGAACTTGGGGCTCCGGGCAGGGGATTCCCATCCCCGGTGTCTCCCAGCTCCCGCACGGCCGGAGATGTCCCGGGGCTTCCCCAGGCCCCTATCCCGGCCTGGCTCCCAAGGCCCGGGATAATCCCAAATTATCCCCTCCCTCCTTGAGGTGCCCTCCCAGAGCTGGACGGGAGCACACACCTCCCATCCCAATTCTGTGAACAGGCCCCCATTCAGGAGTGGGATTAAAGCTTTCTCCGGGGCTGGGGGATCCCGGGACTGTCCGTGAGTGTCCAGGGTGTGCCGGACTGCGGCTGAGTCCCTGGGTGGCTCGGGGGGGACCAGAGGGACCGGAGCTCCCCCTGCCCCGGCCCATCCCCATCCCCATCCCCATCCCCATCCCCATTCCCATCCCCATCCCCATCCCTATCCCCGCACTCCTCTCCTCTTCCCCCGGCGATGGAGGCGCCGGGAGCGGGACGGAGGGGCCGTTTCCCGGGAAGAGTTAACAAATCCCGGGGTCGGCGGGGCTGGGGGGGCGGCTGGGGGGGTCCGGGGGGAGCGGTGGGGGCAGGGAGTCTGCGGAGCTCCGCTGCCCTGCAGGGAAGGCGGTTGCATTGCCAAAGACGCCCCGCTGGGCTAGCAGGCCCGGGAGCAGATTAATCAGGCACTAATTCAATTTACAACAACCACTTTTATTCAGCTCGGTGGCAAGGAATTCAAAGCGAGAGAGGGGCGGGCGGAGGGGAGGGGGCGGAGGCCGGCCGGGGCTCGCCTCTGCCCGGGCAGCCCCCGGCCCCTCGGGCCGCCCCGCCGCCGCTCTCCGGGGAGGGACCCGCGCCGCCGTGCCAGGCCCGGCCGCTTGAGTGACACGGCGTGGGCAGCGCTCCGAGAGAGGGCACCTCCGTTGGAAAAATAAAAGTGCCCTTTTAATCAAAGAGGGAGGGAAGGGGGGCGAGCAGTGCGGCCGGGAGCCGGGAGCCGAGGCGGGGAAGCTCCGCTCCCTCCCGGGGCTCTCTCCGGGGTGTCGGTACCGTTCCCCGGGCTGCGCCTCCGGCCGGGATCGCAGCGGAGCCCCAGCGGGGCCGGGGGCAGCGGCCGTCGGGGGCGGCCCCTCAGCAACGGGGGTCCAGGTGGGTGGGAAGGGCAGAGCGGGGCTGGGCACGGCCCGGTGCGGGACAAGTGCCGCCCTTTAACCCCTTCCTTGCCTTAACGGGAGAGCCGACAAACTGCAGAGCGAGGTGGGGGGCGGCAAGAGGCGCCGCGCAGCCCCTCGTGTCCGGTCTGTCCCGGGGCTGTGACAGAGAGACTGCTCCTCTTCCCCGAGACCAGCCCCCTAAAACACCTGCCGGCGGGTCGCCAGGCCCAGCAGTTCCCGTGCTCTGTTCCCCCGTTAAACTGTCCCGGCACCGGCTTTCCTGTCCCAGGGCTGCGGGAGCCCACTCGGGTCGGTTCCCTTCCGATCCAACTCAGGGACCAGTCCCCGTCTGGCCCGGTGGGACACGTCCCCGTCCCGATCCCCCCGGCGTCCCCAGAGGTGGGCGTGGGGCTCCTCCGGGCCGCTTCCCCCCTTCCCGCCCCCGGAGCATCCCCAGCTGCAGGGCGCGGGCGGCCCCGGCTCCCCCAGCCCCGTTGGGGGCACGGGGGACAGGGGCAGAGCAGGGACCCTCGCCCGGCTCCTCGGGGCGGCTCGGGAGCTCCGCGCCCATCGCCGCGATGTCGAGGCGGGCTCCGTCCCACTCCCATCCCCCCCGCCCTCCCCGAGGCCTGTGCGCGTCTCTGGCTGAGCCGCCAGTGGATGTCGTTGTTCTGTTCCTTGAGCGCGATGTCACTCCTTTAGCATGACCTCAAACGCGGCGGGGGCTGGGACCGCCAGTCATTCTCCGTGCGAGGGCCGGGGCGGGAGGCAGGCGGGACCCAGCCCCGCCGCCAGCCCCACTTTTGTGGTGCCGCCGCCGTCGCGGTCTCCCCTTTCTCCGCGGGGCTGGCCGCGGGGCGGGCGATGCTCCGGGCTCCCTGAGCCGCCGCACCGCGTCCCCGGCCGAGGTGCCCCGCGGAGCGGAGCGGCGCGGTCAGGCGGCGGCTCCCGGCGCGCCCCGTGTCCCCCGGCCCCGCCGTCCCCGCGCCGCGCGGAGGTCGCGCAGGATGCCGCGGAGGGGAGCGGAGGCGCCGCTGGCCCTGCTGCTGGCGGCGGCGTGGCTGGCGCAGCCCCTGCGCGGCGGCTACCACGGCGTGAGCATGTTCGCAGTGCAGAGCGCCCAGCCCGACCCCTGCTACGACGAGCACGGGCTGCCCCGCCGCTGCATCCCCGACTTCGTCAACTCGGCCTTCGGCAAGGAGGTGAAGGTGTCCAGCACCTGCGGGAAGCCGCCGTCGCGGTACTGCGTGGTGACGGAGAAGGGCGAGGAGCAGGTCCGCACCTGCCACCTCTGCAACGCCTCCGACCCCAAGCGCGCCCACCCGCCCTCCTTCCTCACCGACCTCAACAACCCGCACAACCTGACCTGCTGGCAGTCCGACAGCTACGTCCAGTATCCCCACAACGTCACCCTCACCCTGTCCCTCGGCAAGAAATTCGAGGTGACCTACGTCAGCCTGCAGTTCTGCTCGCCGCGCCCCGAGTCCATGGCCATCCACAAGTCCATGGACTACGGCAAGACCTGGGTGCCTTTCCAGTTCTACTCCACGCAGTGCCGCAAGATGTACAACAAGCCGAGCCGCGCCGCCATCACGAAGCAGAACGAGCAGGAGGCGGTGTGCACCGACTCGCACACCGACGTGCGGCCCCTCTCCGGCGGCCTCATCGCCTTCAGCACCCTGGACGGCCGCCCCACCGCCCACGACTTCGACAACTCGCCCGTGCTGCAGGACTGGGTGACGGCCACCGACATCAGGGTGACCTTCAGCCGCCTGCACACCTTCGGCGACGAGAGCGAGGACGACTCCGAGCTGGCCCGCGACTCCTACTTCTACGCCGTGTCCGACCTGCAGGTCGGCGGGCGCTGCAAGTGCAACGGGCACGCGTCGCGCTGCGTCCGGGACCGCGACGACAGCTTGGTGTGCGACTGCAAGCACAACACGGCCGGCCCCGAGTGCGACCGCTGCAAGCCCTTCCACTACGACCGGCCCTGGCAGCGAGCGACGGCCCGGGAGGCCAACGAATGCGTGGGTGAGTCCCGGCCGCGGGCGCGGACACGGCGGGAGGAGGACGGGCCCGGGACGCGGAGGTCCCCGGAGGGGAGGCAAAGGGAGGGCAGAGCGAAGGAGCCGCGAGGGACGGCCGAGAAAGGCACGGGGACATCCAGGGACGCGCCGAGCAGCGCGGGGACAAGCAGGGACACTGAGAACGGGAGAGGAGGAGGACGCTGAGGTACCGGGGAGCGTAAGGGTGAGGACGGGACACCGAGGGACCTCGGAGCGCAGAGCGGGGATGTGAAGGCGCTCGGGAGCACAGGGGATGGGGCACTGAGGTGCCCGGCAGCTCAAGGCAGGGGACACTGAGGTACTCGGGAGCCCGCTGGTGACAACAGCGAGGGACCTCCAGGTGCGAAACGGCGGGCACGGGGAGCCTGGGACCGCCGGGCAGGGCACAGCAATTTGGGGTAGGGGATACCGAGAGCCGCGGGACCGCGGGACGGGGACACCGGAGGCAGCCGGCGGCGCAGGACGGGGTTAGCGGGGTGACTCCGATGAGCAGAGCTAGGGGAAGCTCGGAAACGCGAGGCAGGAAAAAGCAAGGAGCTCAGGAGAGGGGATAAGGAGCCTTCAGGATTCCGGGAAAACGCCGTTCATGTCTGCAAGAGCGGGAAATGGCCCTGGCTGGCCGGGCAGGGGCTCCCGTCCCGCACAGGTCCCGGCCGGGGGGCCCGCAGAGTGCGGCTCGGCTCCGGCCCGGGGATCCCGGGGCTCGCAGCAGCCCCGCTCTCCTCCCCGGGACAGGGCTCGGAGCCGCCCCAAGCCCGAGAGGCTGCGCGCCCGGGCGGGACCGGGACCGGCACCGGGACGGGCTCTGGCCCCTTCCGGAGAGCGAAGGCGGCCGGGAGCAGGGCAGGGAAGCCGGGCAAAGCCCGCAGCTCCGGTCCCGGCATCCCCGGGAGGTGCGGGCGGCCCTGGGAGGCGGCGGCGGGGACTTGAAGGAGCCCCAGGGCCAAATGAGAAGCGGGCAGCAGCCGGTTCGTTCCGTCTGGAGCGAGAAACGCGCGCCGTGCTGGCTGTCCCGGGCGGAACGGAGTGTCCCTCGCCTCTGCCGAGGTGCACAAGGGTTAAGGGCTTGGGCAGTTCTCCCCCGTGAGTCCCGCACATCCCGCCGAACGTTCCCTCCGATCTTCCACCGCCGCTTGCCGGCGGGATCCCCGAGCGCTGCCGCTCCTCTCCTCGCGGTTTCGGGGCCGGTGCTCAGCCGTGTGCCCGTGGGGACCCGGCCCCGTGTCAGGATGGCCGGACTGGGCTCCGCTGCCCGCACCGGGACCCCCCGGCCCCGCGGAGCGCAGCCCCGGCCCCGCCGCCACCGCCGCCTTGTTTACACGGAAAACACGGCCCCGGCTTCCAAAATATTTGCAGCTTCGAATATAGGAAAAATCCCTCGCCGAGCGGCCGGGGTTGGCCGCCTTTTTTCCTTTTTTATTTTTTTCCTTTTATTTTGTTTTCTTTTTCATTTTTAATTTTTGCCCCAAATCACAATCAGATGTGTGCCTTGCAGAGAGCGCAATTTCTTCCCCGGCGTCTTCAGCAGGAAGGCACGGCCAAGCCGGGTTATTTGGCAGGGAGAGGGGCCCGGTGGCACCGGGCACACGCGGTGGCGTCTCCGGGATCCCGGCAGCCTCGGGGCGATGCTCGGATCCCCTCGGGACGGGGGAAGCGGCCGGGAAATGCCGCGTCCCGATGCCTGAGGCTGCCGGGGTCAGCTCCGGGTTCGCTTTTCCGCCGTCCCGCGGATCCCGCTGCCCGGCAGCGCTCGGGTTCGGAGCTCCGCGTCTCGCTCCCATCCCAGCGCTTTGTCCTGCCCAGCAGCGAGGCCGGGGACAGGAGGGGTCCGGCTCTCCCAGCCACAGCCCCGCTCCGTGCCTGCAGAGTCACCGCTATCAGCGATGCCGTACATTTCAGTGCGGTCTCGAGGTGCTATCGGACCCCCGGTCTCCTCTGCAGGATTCCCAAACTCTCCTGAAAACGCTTCTGTTCAGTAATTGTGCTGGCGCCGTGCTCCTACCATCCTTCTCCCTTCCAATGTACTTCCAATAAAAGGGAAGCGAGTTCCCAGTTTCCAGTAAAATATGTCACTTTTATGCCAGGCTTTGCATTTCAGACCATGTGCGCTCCTGGCCGCGTCAGACTTCTGCAAACGAAAATCGCTCTGTTTTTTCCTTTTCCATCGGCTTTGCTGGGAAGAGAATGTTTTGCAAGGACGAAGCTACCGTAAAACAATTTTCCGCAGCCCAGTCCCGCCGCTCCTTCCCCGGGGCCGCACCTATCAGTCTGTAAAACCAGGCACGGCCAAAACCCCGCGCTGCCCTGCCAAGCCCACATCGCCTGGAATAATCCCCCCAGATAAAGATCACAATAACCCCATTCAATTCCCACCCACTCGCTCATGACCGTCGGCCCATCCTGGTTTCTGTCCCAAATCCCGAGAGAAAGTCAGGCCCCGGGTCAGGAGCCGCCTGCGGGGCAGAGCCGGGAACGAGCGGGAGCTGCAGCCGGAGCCGCTCGCTGCGGCTCCTTCCAGAGCTCCGGGCACCAGGGCGGCCGTGCTGAGCGAAAGGGGCATCAGCCAGATCAGCTGAGCTCGCATCGAGGAGTGGGAGAACTGGTTGCGTTTTTTGTTTTGGTTTATTTTGTTTTGGTTTTTTTTTTTCACTGAATTTGCTTTTTTCCTTTCTGGAAAATCGTTGGGAGTTTTCTTTTTCTATTAGTCTAAAGAGAAAAATGATAGAATGTGTCCGCTTTGCTTAAAAATTTGGGAGTTTTCTTTAGCAAGCCGGTTCCCCCTGCCAAAACTGAATCTTTGTTCCTATTCATTCTTATTTGGGGCTGAGAAAGAAATGCTCTGGAGTTTCTGACAGAAAGTCAAAATTTCCCATGGGAACACTTTTTGCCAGCCAGATCGAATTTTTCCTTAGAGCTCCTTGCGAGACCCCAGCACTGCACGTGGAGAGGACAAGGCTTGTCCCAAGGGGATGTTCTCCAGGGATCCTGCAGAGCTTTCGCAGCCTCAGGTTCCCATCAGCTTTACCTGGCAAGTAACTGCTCCACGCAGCTCTTGGCCTTGCAGTCTGGCTCTGGCGGGGCGCCTGCGAGGGCTCCAGGGAGGGCTCGGCTTGGAGAAGAGCTCGGAGGTCTGTTCTCCATCCTGCCTCTCCCCAGCGCCGCTGGGTTGCCTCTTTGCTCAGCGCTGGTCCGGCCCAAGCCCCTTTCTCCAGCCCAGCCCGTCCTGATGCAGCTTCCAGCTCCCCCAGGAGAGGAATCGCAGTTGGGAAAGGTCTGAGGTGAAATGCTGTCAGAGCTCAGCAGCTGGTGAGTTCGTGTGGACGCAGGAAGACGCAGGCAGGGTCATTGATCAGATTTAACATCACTAAAATACAACGCGCACCATTCCGGAAATAAACCCCACTAGAACACAACGTGCACAATTCCTTCAGAACCCCGGTGTGGGTCAGAGTGCTGGGAATGAGCGGGACCAGCACCCTCCCTTCGCTTTGCACCTTTGCCTCTGCCTGGATGAGGCCCTGCCGGCCCAGCCCGGGCTGATCCCGCTGACAGGCGCTTGGAGAGCTCCAGACTCCATTCCAGGGCAGGCTCTGCAGCCCCAGCCCGTTCCCCCCGGAGCCAGGGATGCTCCGGCGCCTGCAGGTGTTCCTGACGTCAGCCTGGCCGCAGGTGCCGGGCCCCGCTCGGCTTTGGCCCTCGAGAGCGTTTAACAAAGCCGGGAGCGAGCGCAGAGGGAGAAAGGAAACGCATTGTGCTCCCAGATAGGGGATTTGGCACGGGCAGCGCCGGAGCCTGGCGCTGGGCAGGCTCTGCCGCGCTGCCCGAGGGTTCCCAGGCTGGGATGTGTCCCGTGTCACAGCGATTTCCCAGCGAGTTCTTGTTCGGCGGAAAGGAAACTTCACCTCCGACAAGGAGCTGACCAGGAGCTCTGACAGGAGCGCCCACCAAACGCTCCCAGTGCAAAACTTCCTTCGGCCAAACCTGGGCCCTCGGCAGCTCCGTGCTGCTCCAGGGAGGCATTTGCAGGGCAGTGCTTGCTGAAATAGCAAACGGGCCCCTCCACCCTCACCACAGCCAGGAAATCAGATCCTCCCACACAGCCCTGCTCCCTCAGAGGGACGGGAGGGGTTTCATGCAGGGAGTTCCTGGTGTCCCTTTTGAAATTCAGGTTATCCCTTTCCTTTACCGTGCATTAATCACCTCCACCTCCAAAGCTCTCTCGGTTCCTGTCCTGTCTGTGACCATTTTCCCCAGGCTGGCACAGTGGGGTACTGGGGAGCCTCATGAGAGGATTCCTTCCCGTTCTCCTTGGCCTCCAAGTGGAAGAAGGAGTCAAGCTGGTGGTGGCTTTGTCTCTGTCCCTGCAGGAATCACTTGTGAGCCAGTGCCTGTCTGCAGGGTCCAGGCATCCCCGAGTGGGCAGAGCAGGGAGCCAGGGCCAGGCCTGGGCCACCAGGGGCTCCCAGGGGCTCCCAGTGGCCAGGAAGGGCTCACACCCAGCCAGGAGGGGCTGGGCTGGTGGGAGATGTCCTTTCCGCCTGCTCCTCTCCCCGGTGGTTCAGGGCTTTGCCAATGGTTTATCCTGAGGGGCACAGAGGGACAGAGGGACAGAGGGACAGACGGACAGAGACTGGCTGCAGCACTGGGAAGGGGAGTGTGCATGGGGCTGGCAGGGCTGGCAGGGACCTGGTGACACAGGGGCACATCCACTGATTCCTCAGTTCCCTGGTGGGATGGGAGTCGGGCAGAGGAACAAAGTGGCTTTGCAGTCCTTCTGTGAGGAGAAAAGGAGTCTGGGTGTCCCCATGCCCACCCTGCTCATGGCCACAGCTGCTCCAGAGGGATGGGGAAGGTTGCAAACATCCATCCCTTCCTGCTTGGAGACAGCCACACTCCCAGCCTGGGCAGAGAGGCTCTGGGCAAGACCCCAGGCTGCTCCTGCAGGGTCCCCAGGGTGCCATAGAG